ATCTGTTTATCATCTTCAGATCTACAAACGTCCTTGTTGACCTTGCATTAAATTTCTCAAAATTTATTTATGAAACAATAAACGAAGGAAACTATTTAATTATTTTAATTAGAGTTCGTCTAGTATTCGCCGTATAATAAATAAAACAATTCGTCTAGATTAAAGACTTTAATTACAATTTAATCTTAGGTTGGAACGGTAATTACCTTACGTTCATAACTCTAATTAGCCAGTAAAATACAAATTTTATTTTTAATCATGGGTAGAGAGATGAAGTGAGGGGAGGGGTGAATAGCTGAGGTAGGGTAGGGGTATTGTGTGTGGGTGTGTGTTGTGTGTGGGTAGTGTGTGGGTAGTTGGGGTGATTTGTAGTTTAGGTGGGGTGGTGTGGGGTTATCTATCAGCCACATTATAAAGACAGCCACATCATCAAGACAGCCACATCATCAAGACAGCCACATCATCAAGACAGCCACATCATCAAGACAGCCACATCATCAAGACAGCCACATCATCAAGACAGCCACTCATCAAGACAGCCACATCATCAAGACAGCCACATCATCAAGACAGCCACATCATCAAGACAGCCACATCATCAAGACAGCCACATCATCAAGACAGCCACATCATCAAGACAGCCACATCATCAAGACAGCCACATCATCAAGACAGCCACATAAGAAGAACTTACAGTAGAGGAGATCTACAAAAAGAAAATGGCTACTGCCAACAGTAGCGCCCCAACCTGTAGTCTGTACTGGGGGGGGGGTGACACCATTAAAGCGGTGACACCGAATAAAAAAATCAAAACATTTACAGACATATCTAATTTAAATGATGAAATAGTAGGGGAGAGGGTGACACCAAAACAAAAATGTGATTTTTTTGGAAGGGAGTTGAGGTGACACCCATGAGTCACCACACCGGGTGACACCCAACCCAGTGACACCATCGGCAGAAAGTACCCAGCTACAGCAGGTAGAAGGAAGCTTTGTTGTTTTCTGGCAGTTAAGGAGACAAAGAAATTGAATTGAATGAACTCTAAAATGTAGTTGTCAGGGGATGCTGGTAATTAGCGAAATGATCCTTAACTCTGTGACAGTGATATCAGTTAAACCTGAGACAGTGATAGTGGTAGAACAAGTTAAACCTGTGACAGTGATATTGGTAGAACAAGTTAAACCTGAGACAGTGATATTGGTAGAACAAGTTAAACCTGTGACAGTGTTATTGGTAGAACAGGTTAAACCTGTGACAGTGATATCAGTTAAACCTGAGATAGTGATATTGGTAGAACAGGTTAAACTTGTGACAGTGATATTGGTAGAACAGGTTAAACCTGAGACAGTGATATTGGTAGACCAGGTTAAACCTGAGACAGTGATATTGGTAGAACAGGTTAAATCTGTGACAGTGATATCAGTTAAACCTGTGACAGTGATATTGGTAGAACAGGTTAAACCTGAGACAGTGATATTGGTAGAACAGGTTAAACTTGTGACAGTGATATTGGTAGAACAGGTTTAACCAGTGACATCGATATTGGTAGAACACGAGATTGACTTAAGATTTAACAAAAACTGGACCAATCTTCCTAATTAGACGAGCAGATTTTTAGACTTTTGGTTTGCACGTAGATGTGTGGGACATTTTGATGGTGAGGAAAAAAAAACGTCACAGGAAAAAAAGTGACAAAAAACTCACAGTTTGCGGGGAATAAAGTCACAGTGAAAAGTCACACAAAAACAATCTGATCGGGAGAAAAGTCAAAAGAATTTTCTAAGAAATATATATATTTATTTGTTGAAATTTGTAAGCTATTGCGCTATATAAATGTGGTAGTGTTATTAAATAAGTTAGTTATAAACTTTAAAGGTTTTAATCACAATAATAATCATACTTCGATCATTTCAATGAGTATTACTATCAAATAATGTATGTGGCTGAGTCAAATTTTGCTACAGATTTATTTGAATACCCGGTAGAAAAATTAATTATAATAGAAATGTAGATAGCCTACATCACTGTGTTTTTTTTTTTAAGGCCTTTCCCTTATCGACCTTGTCTACTCACATTGTGCATTGTGGGCGTTTTGCGTCCATGACGGCCTTTGAACCATGTCGGTTTTTTCTCTTAATCCTATGCTTTGTTTTGTAATGTGGTAAAAGTGGGTAGTTAATGTGGTTAAACTATCGTTACCACAAGTTTTGGACATGAAACCTTATTAACAATGTCTTCCCATTCCACGCTAATACTATTAGAATTTTAAAATATGATTAGAACAAACTAAATATTCAACACAAATGTATATATATATATATATATATATATATATATATATATATATATATATATATATATATATATATATATAGTGTCAGTGAGTGTGTATGTGTGTATCCGAATTAAAACTTACATATTTCAGATCAATGTTGTTTATAAATACAAATACAACCCATACACGTTATCTAAATTGTTTAAAAATAGTTTAATAAATCATATTTGTACTTACTGAAAACCTAAAAATCTTTAATGTATCAACATATTCATGCTAATCATGTTAATACAGAATTGTTACTTTTTTACTTTCTCGTATATACGAAGTATAGAGAAAGTCTAGTAATCGTGCAAAAAAAAATCGAGATTTTTGCAAATCTCGACGTTTTACACCTCACTGATACGGAAAAACATAAATTTGCAATCTTGTCCGTATGTCTGTGTGTCTGTCTGTTTGTCTGTCTGTCTGTGTGTAAACACGATAACTTGAGTACCGCTACAGCTAGGTTGATGAAATTTCATATATAGGTATTTTATCAAAATCGTAGATCCGTGTCAACTTTTGAGCGATTTCCGATAACCGGAAGTGGTTATTTTTCGACTTTGAATTTTTCAAAAGCCTTTAACTTGAGTACTATTTTTAGATAGATAAATGAAATTTCACATGTAAGTAAAAGATCTAATTTTCTACCTTCTGTCAAATTTTGAGTTATTTCCGTTGACCGGAAGTACTAATTTACGCTATTTCCAATTTCTCAAAAAACGCATGTAAATTTATAAAGTACTAATAATATTGCGCACTATTATGCACATTTTGTTTTGGCGTTCGCTTGGTGCGCAATTCTTTTTTCTATGAGATTCTATTCTATTTTTAAAAGTTTAAGTAATTAAAAATCATGTCTATATTCCAAGTTATATAAGAATATTCGAGAAAGTTTAGGGGAGATCACTCCCGGTTTATTTTTTTTACTGTACCTACTTCCTATGACTTTTTTCCTGTGAAGCCCCCCTCCCCCATCCCCCCACGCCCTACAATCGTGTCGATATTACCCTAACATCTCTAGGTTGACCCTAATTCTAGCCCAAACCTAACCAACATTCCCTCTAACGGCTAATGACTTGTGTGCGGATGTATATGATGTGCGTGGTGCACACAAATATCTCATCCATGCGATGCAACCTCATCAGGTTATATGGTGTTTATAAAACTACGACAGTGCTGCAACCTCATCAGGTTATATGGTGTTTATAAAACTACGACAGTGCTGCTTTAAGGGAACATTAACCAACTACTGCGCCATTTCTGACCAAAACCCCGAACCTAAACCTAACAACATAGGGATCAAAACTTGATGGGAAAACTTGTATGGTCCAGCCTGTTTGGGTCACGTGTTGATACCTAGAGCTGGTTACAGTTTGCCACTGGCCACACTAACGCGTCAGTGTGATTTAACACAAAACTAGGGGGGGGGGGGGTGGAGTTATATTTATGATTTGTTTTATTTTTACTGTCTAGCCAAAAATTCCATTTACTTTAAATATAAACAATGGACCAGAACACATCACTACACCCTTTATTTATTTACAAACTGGCCCGCCATTTATTTATGTACACACTGGACCGCCATTTATTTATGTACACACCGGCCCACCATTTATTTACGTACACCCCATGTACACACCGGCCCACCATTTATTTATGTACACCCCATGTACACACCGGCCCACCATTTCTCTATGTACACCCCATGTACACACCGGCCCACCATTTCTCTATGTACACCCCATGTACACACCGGCCCACCATTTCTCTATGTACACCCCATGTACACACCGGCCCACCATTTATTTATGTACACCCCATGTACACACCGGCCCACCATTTCTTTACGTACACCCCATGTACACACCGGCCCACCATTTCTTTACACCTTGTGAGTTCTGGGTCCTACTACAGCCGCGTCACCGCATCACGTGATTATGATAATGGTACTATCTCGATATGTCTGAGTTATCTTCCCCTGGCGGCACCAGTAGATTCTCGCGCCCCTGCTCTAGCGGCCAGCCAGGAAAAAATGGCTGCCATTGCACATTAATGTGGTTATTAGCAAACAGCGATGCGCACGCAAGCGGCTGGCGTTTGGTTCCCTACTGGTGAATTGATCAGTTTTGTAAGTACGCTGGGAAGGGGGTAGTTAATGGTGGGGGAGGGAGGGGGTGACCGATGCGGCTTCGCCAACGCATTCATTTATTCGTATGAAGTGAGATTGGTGAGAATGTCAATAACAACAGATAGAAATCAAAGTCGATGGCTGGAAGAAATGAACAGTCGCCATCTAAAGACACGACCAATGGGAGCCTCAGCGCTGCTCACAGCAAACAACGTCCTTCCTCGGATTGGCTGAGGCGGGACCGGTGGGCGGGGCTTAAAGGCGGAGTTTGAAATGTCGTCTGCCGAGACTTGTTTTCTTTCCCCACGGTCGGGCCGTGTCTCATATCCCGCTAGAGAAGTCTGAGAAGCAACGATTAGCGCCGTGTTAGTCGCCGACTCGACTTGCTGTGTTTATTCCTGGAGTCACTGGAACTATTCTGTGTTTTTGATATTTCTACCAGTATAGATCTGTACTGTGTCTACACTACAAGTCTGTGTTCTGTGTTTACTACGAGTGTTGGAGGCGAGTTTTCTGGGCAGCTTCTTCATAGATATCTTGTGCCCGTGTTGTTATATATCTGGCATAAGTGTGAGCCGTATCTGAGCTGTGAGCAGGTTGACAGATAGATTCTCATGTCGGCCGCGTGACGGTGTCGTCAAGAGCAATGTCCCTGTTGTCTAGCGAACATTCGGCCTTCACCCCCCTGACCCGCGCGGGCATGGCGCTAGGCGGACACCCCGACTACGTCAGGTCCTCCCCTGATGCTGACGTCATGTCCAAGTCCTCCAGCGGCGGACACGATCGTTCACCCGCCGCCTCCCCACCTCTGATGGCGTCGGCGTTCCATAAACTTCATCACTACCGCCTGCAGCAACAGCAGCAGCAGCTGAGAGAGCAGCACTACTCGCGTCTGATGGAGCTGGGCGGGCACGAGCACCCGGACAGCGTGTCGTCTGCTGCCAGTGACAGTGAGCACAGCTCCCCCTGCAGCCCTCAGAGCCCGGGCTCCCCCGTCTCACCTGGAGTAGATCCCCGACCCCCGAGTGCCAAAGAAAACCAGCAGTGCTCGCCGCCTGCTCGCGGTTTTTCCTTCTCTGTTGAAGACATTCTCAAGCCGGACAAGAAGAAGCCGGCGTCCCTGGTCCACCCGGCCCACCCGGTCCACCCGGCCCACAGCGGCGGTCTGGCCAGCAGTAACAGCTCCCACAGCTCCAAGTCCAGCCCCACGGGCAGTGTGGCCTCCCCACACGGCCCACAGGACCTGCGGTGGTCGGCGCCCCAGCCGGCACACCTCCACCCCCACCCCTCCATACCATCCCAGCTCTCCCCGGCATCAGCCAGTTCGGCGGCGACACCCCCGGCGGCCCCACCCCTGGCAGCGGCCGGTCCTGGCATCTCCTCCTGGTTCCTGGCAAACAGATTCCCTCAGGGCAGCAGTAAGTTCATTTTCTTTACCGGCAATTTCTTTCATTTTCTTTACCGGCAATTTCTTAAGTTCATTTTCTTTACCGGCAATTTCTTAAGTTCATTTTCTTTACCGGCAATTTCTTAAGTTCATTTTCTTTACCGGCAATTTCTTAAGTTCATTTTCTTTACCGGCAATATCTTAAGTTCATTTTCTTAACCGGCAATTTCTTAAGTTCATTTTCTTTACCGGCATATTTCTTAAGTTCATTTTCTTTACCGGCATATTTCTTAAGTTCATTTTCTTTACCGGCATATTTCTTAAGTTCATTTTCTTTACCGGCAATTATTTATTTCAGATTCTTAACCGGCATATTTCTTAAGTTCAATTTCTTTACCGGCATATTTCTTAACCTTAACCGGCATATTTCCTAAGTTTCATTTTCTTAACCTTTAACCGGCATATTTCTTAAGATCATTTTCTGTTTCTCTACTGGCATTTATTATTTTTACCGTGCGATGAATTAAGCCCCCCCCCCCCTCCCCTACACATACTATGACCATTTAGTCTAACCTAGATGTACCAAGATGTTCACCTTACTTGAGAGAAAAGTTTCTACTGATGTTAATGAATGGGTTGCTCGCCTGTTTACACATGTTTTGGGCTAATTACATACAAATACGTAAAGCACTGTTGTATGGTCTCAATTAACACAATTAATTAAATTAGAAATGACAATGTTTGAGTTGAATAAATGTCAGAAAAATAAGAGAAAAGCTGGATAATGTAAACCACATTTTTCCTTATAGCTTAAGTTAAATTTAAAACAAAAATATAACGGAAAAAAACGGTTATGAAAATAAACTGTAAAGATTTTGATTTATTAAAAAAATATAGAGGTACTGTATGTTACATTAAAACAAAATTTAAATGTTGAAATATTTGATTAATATAATTCAGTTAATTCAACATTTATCCTAACATTCAGTCCATTCAACATTTATCCTAACATTAAGTCAATTCAACATTTATCCTAACTTTCAGTCAATTCAACATTTATCCTAACTTTCAGTCAATTCAACATTTATCCTAACTTTCAGTCAATTCAACATTTATCCTAACTTTCAGTCAATTCAACATTTATCCTAACTTTCAGTCAATTCAACATTTATCCTAACTTTCAGTCAATTCAACATTTAACCTAACTTTCAGTCAATTTAACATTTATTCTAACATTCATTAAATTCAAAATGTAACTTAACATTCAGTAAATTCAGCGTTCGGCCTAACATTTATAAAATCGAGTATATAAAATAAGAGGTAACTAGAATCAACAATCACTACACAGAACATAACATTTGAGAGAGGGTAAACATGAAGGGGGGTGGGGGGGGGGGGGGCGGGGGCTGGACGCAGGGATTTTTAGTGAAATAACAATATGGACATAAAGTTATGATTACGATACTAACAGCACCTTAACAACACCAAATATTTAGTCGAACGTAACGGATCTAACAACACTGGAGGCAGAACCAGTAGAGTTTCGCATCGAATAAGGACAAGTACACTGATCCAGCTACTTGTCATGCCCCCCCCCCCCCCCCCCCCCCCACGGGTCATGTTCTCTACCTGCTACCAGGCTGGAACAAAAAACGAATTAACCGATCACTCAGGTTTTCAAGTGCGAGCATGCGCTACACTGTGGCTTGGCGCCACTGCCATACAGCCGGCTGTCAAAAAACGGAATGGTTCGATGAAATCTTCAGATAAACTAATAGTCTAAAGCACCTCAGCCGATCACATCGACAAATTAGCACATTTTTGGCTTCAGTTTTGGACGGGCTTTTGTTTCTAACTCTATGTAAAGGTCTCAGCTACGGACAGCACATTCTTAATGCGGTAGGTTTTTGTGAAGTTTGATAGGGTGGATGGTCATATGTGTACCATACACATCATAGGTCTAATGTATGGGCTTGTACACATCATAGGTCTAATGTATGGGCTTGTACACATCATAGGTCAAATGTATGGGCTTGTACACATCATAGGTCTAATGTATGGGCTTGTACACATCATAGGTCAAATGTATGGGCTTGTACAACTGATAGGTCTAATGTATGGGCTTGTACACATCATAGGTCTAATGTATGGGCTTGTACACATCATAGGTCTAATGTATGGGCTTGTACAAATCATAGGTCTAATGTATGGGCTTGTACAAATCGTAGGTCTAATGTATGGGCTTGTACAAATCGTAGGTCAAATGTATGGGCTTATACAAATCATAGGTCTAATGTATGGGCTTGTACAAATCATAGGTCTAATGTATGGGCTTGTACACATCATAGGTCTAATGTATGGGCTTGTACAAATCGTAGGTCAAATGTATGGGCTTATACAAATCATAGGTCTAATGTATGGGCTTGTACAAATCGTAGGTCAAATGTATGGGCTTGTACAACTGATAGGTCTAATGTATGGGCTTGTACACATCATAGGTCTAATGTATGGGCTTGTACACATCATAGGTCTAATGTATGGGCTTGTACAAATCATAGGTCTAATGTATGGGCTTGTACAAATCATAGGTCTAATGTATGGGCTTGTACACATCATAGGTCTAATGTATGGGCTTGTACAAATCGTAGGTCAAATGTATGGGCTTATACAAATCATAGGTCTAATGTATGGGCTTGTACAAATCATAGGTCTAATGTATGGGCTTGTACACATCATAGGTCTAATGTATGGGCTTGTACAAATCGTAGGTCAAATGTATGGGCTTATACAAATCATAGGTCTAATGTATGGGCTTGTACAAATCGTAGGTCAAATGTATGGGCTTGTACAACTGATAGGTCTAATGTATGGGCTTGTACACATCATAGGTCTAATGTATGGGCTTGTACACATCATAGGTCTAATGTATGGGCTTGTACAAATCATAGGTCTAATGTATGGGCTTGTACAAATCATAGGTCTAATGTATGGGCTTGTACACATCATAGGTCTAATGTATGGGCTTGTACAAATCGTAGGTCAAATGTATGGGCTTATACAAATCATAGGTCTAATGTATGGGCTTGTACAAATCATAGGTCTAATGTATGGGCTTGTACACATCATAGGTCTAATGTATGGGCTTGTACAAATCATAGGTCTAATGTATGGGCTTGGGTATCAGGGCAGGACAACAGAAGTGAGCGCTAGATGCACATACCTCACACAGTAACACATGACCCTCACATACCCTCACACAATAACACATAGCCTACACACACCCACACACAATAACACATGACCCTCACATACCCTCACACAATAACACATAGCCTACACACACCCACACACAATAACACATAGCCTACACACACCTCGTGAAACCTTAACACACACAAACATGCGTGATTCAACTAACAAACGATTTTTACCAAATGTTTTAGAAATTAGCGCGGGTTTCTGCCCTCTAAAAAATGATTACTACCATCGACAAAATAATGGCTACCGGGCATAGATCTAGTAGCCTACTGGATCTAAAATCATAACATAAGCACTTTAATGGCGAACCACTCAACATTTAACGGCGAACCACTCAACATTAATGGCGAACCACCCAACATTTAATGGCGAACCACCCAAGATTGAATTTATAAATAACTTAGATCTGACAATACTCTCCACACAAAGAAACACGCAGAAATGTTAACTTATTGTAATAAAATTGACAAAAGCGATTTCATTGGTTTATTTGTTAAAAAATATATTTTTATAAGTAAAGTTTAAATTTTTTAAAACGTGCTAATAATCTTCGCATTAAATCAAAGATTTAAGATAACATTTCTCGCATTACAACTCATGACATAATTCCATTGATACAGTGTATGATGACAAGTTTTCACATTACAACTCATGACATAATTCCATTGATACAGTGGATGACGACAAGTTTTCACATTACAACTCATGACATAATTCCATTGATACAGTGGATGACGACAAGTTTTCACATTACAACTCATGACATAATTCCATTGATACAGTGGATGACAAGTTTTCACATTACAACTCATGACATAATTCCATTGATACAGTGGATGACAAGTTTTCACATTACAACTCATGACATAATTCCATTGATACAGTGGATGACAAGTTTTCACATTACAACTCATGACATAATTCCATTGATACAGTGGATGACAAGTTTTCACATTACAACTCATGACATAATTCCATTGATACACTGTGTGACGACCAGTTTTCACCGTGGAAGTCAGCGATAAAAAGCAGACGGTAAAAAATAAACCGTCGCTAGCCTGAGGAGGTCGATTGGTGACTAGTGGCTAGCTCATTAGACGGCCAGAGATACATGTTTTATTATAGACGGCCAGAGATACATGTTTTATCATAGACGGCCAGAGATACATGTTTTATCATAGACGGCCAGAGATCCATGTTTTATCATAGACGGCCAGAGATACATATTTTATCATAGACGGCTAGAAATGCATGTTTTATCATAGACGGTCAGAGATACATGTTTTATCATAGACGGCCAAAGATACATGTTTTATCATAGACGGCCAGAGATCTATGTTTTATCATAGACGGCCAGAGATCCATGTTTTATCATAGACGGCCAGAGATACATGTTTTAGCATAGACGGCCAGAGATTCATGTTTTAGCATAGACGGCCAGAGATTCATGTTTTAGCATAGACGGCCAGAGATACATGTTTTATCATAGACGGCCAGAGATACATGTTTTATCAGTGTGAAAAACGTCTTTTGTTGAAGCTAGTCAGACGTGAAGGCGCTTGTCAAAAGGCGCATCGATCTTGTTGCTGTGCTATTGTTTGCGGTACTGGGAGAAGGCCGATGTTGATGAAACATTCACATCTTGTATTGTCTAGACATTCACACCCTGTGTGGGTAGCACTGAATCGCTGCATCGCTATCAGGCCCTGTCAGCTCCAGCTAAATATTGGATTCGGCCACACTTGAGCTCACACAATATCGTATACAATTTTTTAAAACAATTTATGTGTAATTCAACAAACATAATATCATATACAGTTTTTTTTTAAAGAATGCAAATGTAATTAAACAAACGCATTATCACTTATAATTATTTTTTAAAACCAAAATGTGAGACAATAAGCTGAAAATAATCCTGCACAATTTAAAAAGAAAATAGAATTAAACAAACAAAACATTATTTACAATTCTACCTACTTGTTAGTGTAATTCTGCCAAAGAAAATCATAATTCGACTCTATTTACGTATGGCTATTAACCATATACATTTGTTTTAAATTACCCCCAATTAACAGCTGAAGTAATTAACGATCCGACATAATTACTGCATAGTTAATTACCCCCAGCGTTTAAGCTATAATGGGTTCGATGCAATCTTCAAGTCACGTGGAAAATAAAATGTTTTTTTTTTATCCGCCAGTCTTGGATGGTGTCTGGGGTAGAACAAAACATTTTTGTCGGCGTCAGAAACATTGGGGGCTCTATTGATCACAGCCCCGATTGTAGGGTACTTGAAAATAACTTTGTAAGATTATTCCTTGCTTCACACTCAATAAATTACACGCAATCACAAAGTTAATCGATTCGTGTAATTCATCCAGACCAATCGAGAAAAATCAATACAAAATGAAAGATTAGCCAGACAAGCACAAAATTTAATTAACTCAGGCATTGAATTAATTTTTCGCACGGCTGATTAATCAGAAACCAGTTTTAAATAAATGTATTTTTTGATCTACCTGCACGCAATGCAACTCAAGTTTTTTTTTTTTCAATTTAAAATAAATTGATTCGCTGGTTTCATATTACCTGGTATAAAATTAAGGGACGGTTACGTCCCTTTGTTCAAGACCGGCAACTGCGAGACAATACGTTACCTAAAGCTAATTTGTGACATGAATTATTCTAATGGCTCTCTGGGTTCACAGATTCCGCTTGAACGCCTTCCCTGCTCTGGTGGCGCCGCCCGCGGCTCACGCGAAGGTCAAGTATAGAGAACCCGTCAAGCGAGTGAGCGAAATGTATTCCCGCCAACAGACCATTTCTTCCCGGCTCCAAAAGTCGGACTTGAAATGTGTTCGTGCGTCTAGCAATTAACCGACAGTCTCAAATATGCACACACAAAAATTATCATATTTTGTCGAAGTAAACTTTTATATTTCAGGTGGTATTCATTCAATATAGTTTTATATCAGTAAATGTTGACAAAGGGCTTTATAAATAAATAAATAAATAAATAATTAAATAAAAAAAAAAAAAAAAATATATATATATATATATATATATATATATATATATATATATATATATATATATATATATATATATATATATATATAATTGCGTGCGCGTGTATATCATTAAAGTAAAAAATGTTAAAACAGTCATCATTACAATGACCGTAACAACCATTTAAATATACCGTTCTTTAGCTATTGACAACATTTCCCTAAGGAGACAACCCCAGACTTTGATGGTACCTCGCCGGGTGATTGCCCGTAACACCAACCCTATGGCCACGGGTTGTAACTCTCCCCACATTAGCAGACCTTCGTCAGGGGGGAGCACTCCATGAAGGTCCTGTAGACACGCTTCATTTGTCCTGGCGGCGTGAATTAATGCCCATAACTGAGCGTGGAGTGGCCCACTACGGCCTATGTGTGGTAACAAGGCCGGCAAGCTACTGGAGCGTAGAGGGCAGATACCCGCCGGTCGAAAGATTGCGCGTGTGTTTACATAAAGCTGTCCACTTAACGGGGATGATCTGTGTTGAGATTACAATGTAGACCCACCAGGTTTGACATGTTAATCTCCGACCATAAGGCCAGGCCATTAAGTCTTCAATGTCCAAACATACATTGGACACGTTTATTTCCCACAAGCCTGGAATAAAGGGTATCTTTACCCACAAGAAACTTGACAATAGCGGGGTAAAAATAATGTCATCAGGTGGAAATAACAGGCTAATGTACACACAAATAAATGGTTCGGATTTTTTTTTCAATTTAAGATCATTATGTGTAATTTTTTATTTCTTCACAGCTCCCATGAATGCGTGGTATAACGTTATCGCTGTAATCTAAATCTGTTTTATTTCTCAAGACTAAAAAAAAAATCATGGAGCAGGTATTTACCATTCTCGTGCTGTGTTGGGCTACATCACGTGTTGTCGCAGGCACAGCGAGGGTCCCGCCACGTAGCAGACGGTCCCAAGTCACCGGTCCCATTCCATTCTACACTGCCGTCTTGCCCACGTCCCGACATATTTCAATAATTGTTGTTTTGTTACTCAACTCGCGGGGGACAAAGCCTTCAAACACGCCATGCACCCAAGTGGAAATTTGTAATTCATAACCTACGATAGGCCACCCTTTTATCCTGAGCTTTTTGTCGGAGGTTTAATAGACTTTAGCACGGTCCAACGCTTTAAGTAAATAGTCGACAAATAGAGCGTGGAGCGGACAGGCAATTATGCAAACGTTTAAAGGTCTGATCTTTCATCTTTCTCAAATATCGCCTGCTAGGAAGAAATTTTAATTAGATAACTTAGATATCGTTGACAAGGTACAAAAAATGAATAAATTGATACCCCCAAAAAATGGAAATAGATTTTACTGGTTCATTTACGTTTAGAAATCGTAGATGAAATCTTAAGAGTAAAAAATAACGTTTTGTTGGATGTTGTATGGTGCAGCATACTTAATTGTTGTATGACGTTGTAGATATCACATGTTTGCCTACTGTATCACGTGACGCAGATATCACATGTTTGCCTACTGTATCACGTGACGCAGATATCACATGTTTGCCTACTGTATCACGTGACACAGATATCACATGTGTGCCTACTGTATCACGTGACATATATATCACATGTTTGCCTACTGTATCACGTGACACAGATATTACATTTACATTTAAACTTCTGTTTACAATAACTTCCTCTCTCCATCCCCAGCGGTGCCCCCGACGCCCAGACTAGCGCCCCACAAGATGACCTTGAGAAAACACAAGCCCAACAGGAAACCAAGGACGCCGTTCACGACCTCCCAGCTGCTGGCGCTAGAGAGGAAGTTCCGCGAGAAGCAGTACCTGAGCATCGCAGAACGGGCAGAGTTTTCCGCGTCACTGACCCTGACGGAGACGCAGGTGAAGATCTGGTTCCAGAACCGGCGCGCCAAGGCCAAACGTCTGCAGGAGGCCGAGCTGGAGAAGCTGAGGATGGCGGCCAAGCCCATGATGCCGCCCCTGCTGGGCATGGGCTTCCCCATGAGCCTCTACGGACAGTTCCCTCGCAACCCCATGATGTCACAGGGCGTCATGTCGCCATTTTCTATTCACAATGCCGGGATGCAGTCAGGTGTGTCGTACTTGCATTAACATGGACACGGCTGACTAGACACTCACCACTGTCCTGTAGAAATAGCTGCATCAGTTGTTTGATCCAGGAAAAGATTTCAGAAAACCAAAGAAGTTACAAGCCTGGAGTCGTTTTGTACCAGGTGGCAGTCATATGCTAAGGTGGCAGTCATATGCCCAGTTGGCAGTCATATGCCCAGGCGTCAGTCATATGCCCAGGTGGAAGTCATATGCCCAAGTGGCAGTAATATGCCCAAGTCTGACAGAAACAAAATGATGATCTTGTTGAAGTCAGCTGTTTTGATAAAAACCTGCATTTTACGATTTTTGTCAAGACGTTAAACCACTAGAGCTACTTCATGCCAAACAGGCACACAATCCAAAGACGGCCAGGCACATAATCCAAAAACAGCCAGGCACATAATCCAGACAGCCAGGCACATAATCCAAAGACAGCCAGGCACATAATCCAAAGACAGCCAGGCACATAATCCAAAGACAGCCAGGCACATAATCCAAATACAGCCAGGCACATAATCCAAAGACAGCCAGGCACATAATCCAAATACAGCCAGGCACATAATCCAGACAGCCAGGCACATAATCCAGACAGCCAGGCACATAATCCAGACAGCCAGGCACATAATCCAGACAGCCAGGCACATAATCCAGACAGCCAGGCACATAATCCAAAGACAGCCAGGCACATAATCCAGACAGCCAGGCTATAATCCACAGATCACCAAAGCCAGCTAGACAGAAATTGAGAAGTGCAACATCATCACACGCCTTGTGATGGTTCGATGTCAACATTTGTGTTCCTACACACGGGTCAATTTTTGGTCAACTTTTATTGTTCCATACAGGGAATAGCATCACGGTCAACTTTTATTGTTCCATACAGGGAATAGCATCACGCCGACACATTAGAAGAAGTTTGGGAACTACAAGTTTACAAACATTCAGTCATCAGCCCAATCATCGATCCAATCATCACTTCAGTCATCAACTCAATCATCACTTCAGTCATCAACTCAATCATCACTTCAGTCAACAAGCTTGCACGTAATGTGCTCCCGTTGCTTTATTCTTCTCATGTTTGCAAATGTTGAATCACAGCAAACTTGGACTTCATATCTAATCATACATGGACAAACTAAAAATTCTGGAGTTGAAATATTTTATTTTTAAATGTTAATTAATTAATAAAAATAATTAGCGACAGGTGAATTTATCATACAAGTAGAACTGAGATTAAAGTGTAAGGAGTTCCTTCACAATCTAAAGGTCTACCTCTGTTCGTACATGGTCAATATGTGTACTAGACATGAGGCCATACATAGGCCTACCTCTGTTGGTACATGGTCAATGTGTGTATCAGACCTTAGAAAATCAAATGACTTGCAAATCTGAGGCCATACCTCTATGACAAAACCAAACAAACTAACCTTCAAGTCTGACCAACTATTTCATGAGGTGGTAGCTAACAATACCTTCCAAATGTTTTGGAAAGTTTAAAAAAAATGTAGCTGGATTTGGTAACGATTGACGTCACTGTGATAACCTAACTATACTTGACTGAATGGTGTGTGTGTGTGTGTCTGTGTGTGTGTGTGGATATAAATTGGGTTCGACCCGTATGGGTCGTGTTCGAACCTTGAGGTCTTTAGTGCTGCTGTGTCGTACATACGATCTGGTTGCCATAGTGACTGGAGTGTAACAATGTCAATTGTTTAATTTATGGTAGAGTGCGGACGTTTGAATGGTGTGTATGTATAAAGTGTCTAAATGGAGGGTATATGATTGTAGGGTGTTTGGAGTGTATATTATGTACAGTGTCCGAATGTGTCTGAATATAGTGTGTCTCACAACGTGCTAGTTTTAAGATAATTTAATCAGGTTTATCTGTAATTACGTGCACTGTCGTGACGAGAGAATTTTTTTCTAAAAAAGACAGACGTCCTAAAAAGACAGACGTCCTAAAAATTAGATGTCCTAAAATCAGACGTGTATATAGTACTGACGTCCAAATGTAATTGAATTACATTTTCTAATGCATAATTTTTGTAATGAAAATAAAATGTGAGAATTTATTTTCAGCTTTTTTTTTTGTTTATTCATGGCGTCCGCTTGAATACATTATGTAGGTAGTGGTTACATTCTAGACTATGTAAGCCTTGATTACATTCTAGATATATTAGCAGCAGCAGTGGTTACATTCAAGATTATGTAAGCCGTAGTTATATCCTAAAACGAGGATTCTTTATCTGTTCTAATTGATGAGTTGTAGAGTGGGGGGGGGGGGCGCTATTTGAAACTTCCGGTGGAAGGGGCGATCATAAGAATACAGAATGTATTGTCTATTTTAATTTAATGCCATGTATGTTGGCAATATTGTGAGGTCCTAGTAGCTGTACAATACATAGGTGACAACAGCTATGGTTAACAACGACAGTCAGTGTGCAGTTAGCAAATACGGCCAGGGTATAATTAGCAACGACATTGTTTTGCTTGCAACGACCACCAATCAATGCCGTCAGCAGGCCGGGTGGTACCCGGTGTTCTAATACATAGTGTCACCCCCTCCGCCAAGAAGTCACCCCCTCCGCCAAAGATATCACCTCCGCCCCTGTCTTATGGCGTTACCTCAATCCATGTGTAGTCAGTCAGGAGATCCACACTAATTAAGAATGTTTAGCCTCCACTTTGAAAAAAAAAAAACAACTATTATAATAAAATACAAATAAAAAAATAAAGCGGAAGTGATCTCTCCTAAACTTACTCGTATATTATTATAAAACGGTAAGTGATTTGGGGGGGGGGGGGGGGGGGGGGGCACAACCAGTGCAATCGTGCTATAGAAATCAATTTTATTGTTTTAAGTACTTACATTTTTAAAAATAGAATCGCACAGAAAAAAAAAGAATTGCGTACCAAGTGAAAGGAAACAATATGTGTGTAATAGTGAAGAAAATATTTTTAAAAATAATTAATTACACACTTAATTAAGTTACATTTTATGACACTGTAGATTGTCATTGAGTCTTGACCTACCTGAAAAGTTTGAAAGTAATCGGTCCGGTGGAAAAATTGGAAATAGCGTAAAGTACGACTTCCGTTCTCAAGGTATCACTCATAATTTTAGACTCAAGGGAGTAAGATCTTATACCTATGTAGTACATTTCGTTCACTTAACTGGAATGGAACTAATGTTATCGGTATTTTAGAAACAGAAAATAAAGTACCACTTCCGGATATCAGATGTCATTCCAAAATTTTGAGTAATTAAGGAATAACATAATGATACTCATAAGTAAAATTTCGTCTACCTAGCTGAAACAGTTCTCAAGTTATTTTCTTCCCTCGAAAATAGACTAATGTACCATTCCGTTTACCGGAAGTCTTTCAAAAGTTGATAAAACAATCGCACACAATATAATTCGTACATTTGAAATTAATTTTTATAGGCTTTTTAAGAAACGGAAGTGAGGTACCACTTCCATTTACCGGAAATCGCTCAAAATTGAAAGTAAACTACAAATTTGATATAATACTAATATATGAAATGTCGTCAACCTAACTGAAACGGTACACAGACAGACAAAATTGCGAAATAAGATTTTCGGGATCCGGAAGCATGTAAGACGTCAAGGCTTGTCAAAATCTCGATTTAAATTCTAACACGATTACAATACAAGCTTTATATTCCGTATACGATAACATTATAGGGAGGTGTTACACGGCGGAAACTGTCAAACAAATTATCCATCACGATTACATGACTTCCTGTATAGTACTCGATACTGTGTGTACGAGAAAGTAAAAACTAGAAGAAATGGTCAGGGCAATGTTACAGGACCGGGTCAAGCAAATGTCTGCACATACGTCATCGCCTGACCAGAATGACGTCAGTCGTGTGCCGAGTCACCACCTGGTAGTTCTACCCCCCGCCCCCCCCCCATCCTCGTGTTTACCTCCCGTACGAAAACGGCCTTTTCCCCAGTCATATTTACCTACCACCCTCCCCCCCCCCCCCCCCTGGAGCGGCCCCTTACATCTCAAACAATTAGTCTCAAGCCATTTACACCGACAATAAAACGGAATCGTTTTCGAATAAAAATCTCCCGACCATTTTTTAATGCCTTCGTAATTTACTCTTTGAAATTAAAAGACATTATCGCTTTATTATTTTACATTTTCTTTTTTCTGCCTGCCCAACACGCCAGCGGTCGCCATTCTCTGGGGCCGGGGAAATGGGAACATGAGAGGCTCGCGGGGTCCGTGACAGGATGGGGTCGCAGCACCGCGCGCTAAAAAAACTGATTGCACGCATCGGCAGTTTTACGACGTGTGAATAACATTAAAGCGGAGGTTAAGGAGGGAAATAAATTAGGGGTTTTAACGCGACGGTTTCGACATCGTTTAGTGGTGTGGGTTTTTTTTTCTTGTTTATTAATTATTTCGTTTCTTCGATATTTTTTAAGCAATCATAGGGTTCTAGTAAAGTAAGTAAAGGTCTCTAGAGCAAGTGAAGTAGAGTTCACTTGCTTCTGTGACCTCGCCATATGAGGAGATACTGTGGTCAGCACTATGCCCAGCGGCCTTTACTTTCGCTAACCAAGGTACCCATCAAGTTGGGTGGACTCAGGGACGGTATACTGACTTGAACCGGGATTCGAACACAAACTTGTGTGTCCCCTGAGGTCAGCTATCTGATGTTTATGTTAGTCACATGCATGTCCGTGTACAAGATACACATCTCCAGCGATGTATCATTGAGTCAGTAGGGATAGATGTCAGTTCCGGTGAACACCGCGTCCCGAACACTTCCACCCAACCCCCCAACCCCCTACTATACCATCCAATCTCCCAACCCCCTACTCTACCACCCAACCATCCAACCCCCTACTCTACCACCATACCCCCCACCACCACCCAACCCCCTACTCTACCACCCAACCATCCAACCCCCTACTCTACCACCATACCCCCCACCACCACCCAACCCCCTACTCTACCACCATACCCCCCACCCCCACCCAACCCCATACGCTACCACCAACCCCCCACCACCACCCAACCCCCTACTCTACCACCATACCCCCACACCACCACCCAACCCCCTACTCTACCACCATACCCCTCCCCACCACCACCCAACCCCCTACTCTACCACCATACCC